TGACCAAGTGTAAAGTGGCGTGTCTTTGAGGAAGAACTAGTTACCAAGTGTAAAGTGGCGGGTCTTTGAGGAAGAACTAGTGATCAAGTGTAAAGTGGCGGGTCTTTGAGGAAGAACTAGTGATCAAGTGTAAAGTGGCGGGTCTTTGAGGAAGAACTAGTGACCAAGTGTAAAGGGGCGGGTCTTTGAGGAAGAACTAGTGACCAAGTGTAAATGTAAGGGTCTTTGAGGAAGAACTAGTGACCAAGTGTAAAGGGGCGGGTCATTGAGGAAGAACTACTGACCAAGTGTAAAGTGGCGGGTCTTTGAGGAAGAACTAGTGACCAAGTGTAAAGTGGCGGGTCTTTGAGGAAGAACTACTGACCAAGTGTAAAGTGATGGGTCTTTGAGGAAGAACTAGTGACCAAGTGTAAAGGGGCGCATCTTTGAGGAAGAACTAGTGACCATGTGTAAAGTGATGGGTCTTTGAGGAAGAACTAGTGACCAAGTGTAAAGTGATGGGTCTTTGAGGAAGAACTAGTAACCAAGTGTAAAGAGGCGGGTCTTTGAGGAAGAACTAGTGACCAAGTGTAAAGTGACGGGTCTTTGAGGAAGAACTAGTGACCAAGTGTAAAGTGACGGGTCTTTGAGGAAGAACTAGTGACCAAGTGTAAAGTGGCGGGTCTTTGAGGAAGAACTACTGACCAAGTGTAAAGTGGCGGGTCTTTGAGGAAGAACTACTGACCAAGTGTAAAGGGGCGGGTCTTTGAGGAAGAACTAGTGACCAAGTGTAAAGTGGCGGGTCTTTGAGGAAGAACTAGTGACCAAGTGTTAAGTGACGGGTCTTTGAGGAAGAACTACTGACCAAGTGTAAAGGGGCGGGTCTTTGAGGAAGAACTACTGACCAAGTGTAAAGTGGCGGGTCTTTGAGGAAGAACTACTGACCAAGTGTAAAGTGGCGGGTCTTTGAGGAAGAACTACTGACCAAGTGTAAAGTGGCGGGTCTTTGAGGAAGAACTACTGACCAAGTGTAAAGTGGCGGGTCTTTGAGGAAGAACTACTGACCAAGTGTAAAGTGGCGGGTCTTTGAGGAAGAACTACTGACCAAGTGTAAAGTGGCGGGTCTTTGAGGAAGAACTACTGACCAAGTGTAAAGTGGCGGGTCTTTGAGGAAGAACTACTGACCAAGTGTAAAGTGGCGGGTCTTTGAGGAAGAACTACTGACCAAGTGTAAAGTGGCGGGTCTTTGAGGAAGAACTACTGACCAAGTGTAAAGTGGCGGGTCTTTGAGGAAGAACTACTGACCAAGTGTAAAGTGGCGGGTCTTTGAGGAAGAACTACTGACCAAGTGTAAAGTGGCGGGTCTTTGAGGAAGAACTACTGACCAAGTGTAAAGTGGCGGGTCTTTGAGGAAGAACTACTGACCAAGTGTAAAGTGGCGGGTCTTTGAGGAAGAACTACTGACCAAGTGTAAAGTGGCGGGTCTTTGAGGAAGAACTACTGACCAAGTGTAAAGTGGCGGGTCTTTGAGGAAGAACTACTGACCAAGTGTAAAGTGGCGGGTCTTTGAGGAAGAACTACTGACCAAGTGTAAAGTGGCGGGTCTTTGAGGAAGAACTACTGACCAAGTGTAAAGTGGCGGGTCTTTGAGGAAGAACTACTGACCAAGTGTAAAGTGGCGGGTCTTTGAGGAAGAACTACTGACCAAGTGTAAAGTGATGGGTCTTTGAGGAAGAACTAGTGAACAAGTGTAAAGGGGCGCATCTTTGAGGAAGAACTAGTGACCAAGTGTAAAGTGATGGGTCTTTGAGGAAGAACTAGTGACCAAGTGTAAAGGGGCGGGTCTTTTAGGAAGAACTACTGACCAAGTGTAAAGTGGTGGGTCTTTGAGGAAGAACTACTGACCAAGTGTAAAGGGGTGGGTCTTTGAGGAAGAACTAGTGACCAAGTGTAAAGTGGCGGGTCTTTGAGGAAGAACTAGTGACCAAGTGTTAAGTGACGGGTCTTTGAGGAAGAACTACTGACCAAGTGTAAAGGGGCGGGTCTTTGAGGAAGAACTACTGACCAAGTGTAAAGGGGCGGGTCTTTGAGGAAGAACTACTGACCAAGTGTTAAGTGGCGGGTCTTTGAGGAAGAACTACTGACCAAGTGTAAAGTGGCGGGTCTTTGAGGAAGAACTACTGACCAAGTGTAAAGTGGCGGGTCTTTGAGGAAGAACTACTGACCAAGTGTAAAGAGGCGGGTCTTTGAGGAAGAACTAGTGACCAAGTGTCAAGTGACGGGTCTTTGAGGAAGAACTACTGACCAAGTGTTAAGTGGCGGGTCTTTGAGGAAGAACTACTGACCAAGTGTAAAGGGGCGGGTCTTTGAGGAAGAACTACTGACCAAGTGTAAAGTGGCGGGTCTTTGAGGAAGAACTACTGACCAAGTGTAAAGTGGCGGGTCTTTGAGGAAGAACTACTGACCAAGTGTAAAGTGGCGGGTCTTTGAGGAAGAACTACTGACCAAGTGTAAAGTGGCGGGTCTTTGAGGAAGAACTACTGACCAAGTGTAAAGTGGCGGGTCTTTGAGGAAGAACTACTGACCAAGTGTAAAGTGGCGGGTCTTTGAGGAAGAACTACTGACCAAGTGTAAAGTGGCGGGTCTTTGAGGAAGAACTACTGACCAAGTGTAAAGTGGCGGGTCTTTGAGGAAGAACTACTGACCAAGTGTAAAGTGGCGGGTCTTTGAGGAAGAACTACTGACCAAGTGTAAAGTGGCGGGTCTTTGAGGAAGAACTACTGACCAAGTGTAAAGTGGCGGGTCTTTGAGGAAGAACTACTGACCAAGTGTAAAGTGGCGGGTCTTTGAGGAAGAACTACTGACCAAGTGTAAAGGGGCGGGTCTTTGAGGAAGAACTACTGACCAAGTGTAAAGGGGCGGGTCTTTGAGGAAGAACTAGTCACCAAGTGTTAAGTGGTGGGTCTTTGAGGAAGAACTACTGACCAAGTGTAAAGTGGCGGGTCTTTGAGGAAGAACTACTGACCAAGTGTAAAGGGGCGGGTCTTTGAGGAAGAACTACTGACCAAGTGTAAAGTGACAGGTCTTTGAGGAAGAACTATTGACCAAGTGTAAAGTGACAGGTCTTTGAGGAAGAACTACTGACCAAGTGTAAAGTGACGGGTCTTTTAGGAAGAACTACTGACCAAGTGTAAAGGGGCGGGTCTTTGAGGAAGAACTACTGACCAAGTGTAAAGGGGCGTGTCTTTGAGGAAGAACTACTGACCAAGTGTAAAGTGACAGGTCTTTGAGGAAGAACTATTGACCAAGTGTAAAGTGACAGGTCTTTGAGGAAGAACTACTGACCAAGTGTAAAGTGACGGGTCTTTGAGGAAGAACTACTGACCAAGTGTAAAGTGACAGAAGAAATGGCTGCGTTTACTGACCAATATCGTCTAGCCACGTGTTCAAGTGTGTAAAGTTAATTTTTTAAGTGAACGACGAAAATGAGTCAAGAGATTGCATGTATTAAAAAAAACATTCTTTTTTTATGTTACGGTATTATTTTTTGTAGAAAGATTGCCCTCTTACACTCGTAGGTGTGTGTAAATTGCGCAATGATATTCCCTTCGAGCTGATTGCCACGCTGTTCATAAAGCAGTCACAAGCACGGAATGACTGCTGAATTCAATTTAAACAGTAAACATATTTTCTCCATCACGCCATGAACACGCAAACAAACCAAGGACAGATAAGACAAACAAAAACATCTTTATGTCTTGTATTCTGACAAGATCGTGCAGTTAGTTTTTCTTGTATCCACGGCTGCAACCTGATGTTAGACACCTTCACTGCAATCAGAAGACAGACTGTTTCAATCAGAAGAAAGATATAAAGCTTCAATCAGAAGACAAATTGCTTCAATCAGAAGACAGATTGCTTCAATAAGAATAAAGATTGTTTCAATCAGAAGACAGATTGGTTCAATAATAAGAAAGATTCCTTCTATCAGAAGACATATTGCTTCAATCAGAAGAAATATTGCTTCAATCATAAGAAAGATTGTTTCAATCATAAGACAGATTGCTTCAATAAGAATAAAGATTGCTTCAATCAGAAGACAGATTGGTTCAATAATAAGAAAGATTCCTTCTATCAGAAGACATATTGCTTCAATCTGCAGAAGAAAGATTGCTTAAATCAGAAGAAATATTGCTTCAATCAGAAGACATATGGCTTCAATCAGAAGAAAGATTGCTTTAATCAGAAGACAGATGGCTTCAATCAGAAAAAAGATTGCTTCAATCAGAATACAGATTTCTTAAATCAGAAGAAAGATTACTTCAATTAGAAGACAGAACGCTTCAATCAGAAGAAATATTGCGTCAATTAGAAAACATCTTATGTCTTTTTACTATGACAAGATCGTGCAGTTAGTTTTTCTTGTATCCACGGATGTAACCTAATGTTAGACACCCCCCCTCCCCGCAACTACCCCGACTCCCTCTTTTCAAAGCCAAAGTTGCTGTTTCATTAGCAATGTTGCTTCTTGAA